TTCTTCTACAGTGGTTATATACTGCTGACCTGGCAGCTCCTCGTGATGGTCGTCATGGGATTCACAGGAACGCTGTGTTTTTTCATGGTGGAGAGGATGCAGAATATGTCAGCTGACACACAGGAGTATTAGTTTGGGGTCTTTCTCAGGACACATTTCAGTAAGTTAAACATTTATTGTATCTCAGGATTGTATCTTTATGATTGAAAGCATAAAAAATTCAATCACAGCTATTAAGTGAGACTGGGGGCATTTCTAACAAAAAACTAAATAATAAAAAGTGTCACCCACAACATTGTTTAATATAGACTGTATATTTTTTATTTTTGTGGAAAAAATTAAACGGTGGAAAAAATACAAGACTGACACGGCAATAATAATAAAAACAGTAATATTAACTTTACATTTTACATTAACAAATGTAACTCTCAATGTGCATCAAACAATAAAAGGCTGTAAAACATATATATAGCAGATTGATCAGGATTATCTAAGACTATTAATACACATGCACTAATGAATTTGAGACAAATCTAGATAGACTTACAGGTGGTGAACTCAACTGTTGCGCTCTGGTCACTAGATATACTATGATCATTATAGTCAGAGCTCATTGTTGCTGTCAGAATGTAGTTGGTATTTGGCTGGAGATTTTTGGCCACAATCTCAAAGTATCCCACTGTGTTCGGCACTGTCTTGGATATCTGTATGAACGTGTATATATATACACACACACACACACACACACATTAATATACACATTGAAATGGTTCATATTATCTATACATCATATATCATCTTCCTTACATTTTCATGTCCTCCTTTGATGCCATAGGTCAGATTTATTCTCAAGGATTCAAAAAAATTTCTTCCTGCCTAATAATGTTTTCTAATTTGAGTGGTACGGGTAGGTTTTCAATGGAAATTCGAGCATGGCACTGTCATTATGTCACGTCTGTAAACATAAAGAAGTTGTCCCGGCTACTAGGCTATTGCATGTGAGGATCCTGCAGGTGGAGGATAGTTTATAGCCTTTTCTCACAGCAGCCAGAATAATTAAATGTATCATTTTGATGGCGGACAAATCTTTGTAACCCCAGGCTATCTGTAATCAGAAGCATATTTTATATATATAAATATAATTTAATTTCATTCACATGTGAATGTCACATTCTTTATGGCAGGCACCATAAAACAACAGCTCTGTGAAAACATGTTTGAAATTCCCCTGAAGGCCTTTGGTTGAACTCAGACTGTATTTCAACATTCTGAGGTTTTATTTTAGAAAGCTAAAAACAAGGGCATACATTTACATTGCTCTTATTGAGAGGTGCTTTAGTTTTTCTTAGAATGCCATAGTGTAAGTGGACCTATAATAATTACATACAAAAATAATGAAATGTTTCATGCACGTATCAATCATCTGTTTGACAGCATAGTAATTGTACTCAGGCTGACAATAACCGTTTATGAACTGACCGAGATGAGTGGAGTCTTTGAAGAGTAAACATTTGTCCTGTTGACGATAGCAAAACAAAAAAGACAACAGTGTCATCTACATCTAAATGTATCACATCTACAAACATATTTTTTTTGTTGAAACAACATCCTATAGAAAAATACAAGTTCTATTCACAGACTGAGTCAGCAAGTATAATGCCATTAGCAAATATCGCATAATGTAATAAAAAAAGTCAATGCCAAGAAAAATAATACATGACTTCCAGGAGAATTTAAGTCACTGTATAACCTCTTATTGTTGAAAGAGTGGATCCTGGATTTCGGTATTAAACAAAGTTTCTTATTACTGGTAATATTTTCAAAGAAATGCAACTGTAGAGATCAATAGTTAAAATGTAAACATACCCATCATTTGTTTTCACAGCATAATTAAACCGAATAAGAAATGTGTTATCATGCCTTTAAAATTTGCCTTTGCAAATTTGCCTTGGTGTCATTGAGTGTATAATAAAAGTAATAAAGAAGTATGAATAACAAGAATAGTTACTGTCTATGAGCTCAACAGGCGTTTAAAGGGATACTCCACCTAAAAATGAATACTCTCTGATCATTTACTAACATGCACTTGCATTATATGGACTGAGATGGATTATTCTTCTAAAAATCTGTGTTTGTGTTCCACAGAAGAAAGAAAGTCATCTGGGACAGCATGAGATCATTTTAATGGGTGGAATATCCCTTTAAGGCATTTTCAACATCTTATTGCAGAAGTAGCTAGCAAAACCTAAATTCAAGGCATTGGCTCTAAGCCTGAATAAGTAGTGAACAAAGTTCACATAGTTCTTATTACTGGTCATATTTTGAAAAGAATGATTCCTTGTAACTGTAGACATTGCATGCAAAAAATAATGAAAGATTTCAGGCATGTACTTATTTGTTTTACAGCCCAGTTAAACACATTGATATGAATTGTCTATTTGAATAAAGGGTGAGAAATGCAAAGAAGAGGCCCACAAACTTTGCTGCACAGATGTGGGATCTTGGCCGGTGCTGTGGGGGAATTTCAAAGCTTTACACGCATTAAGTGCTTGTTCAGTACTGACGCTTGTGCTCCACTGTCCTTCTGTGCTCTTTGTCAAGCCTTGAAAAGCCTGATATCCTTCATCACATGGTGTGACACTGCCATCATGCAGAATCAGAGAAGGATAGAGTGGATTTGTGCTGGTGATGAGATTTTTTATGATGCATTTTTCATCAGCACCAACACTATTTGAAAGGTTCACACAAACATCTGGATCATTTCCCTTTTTCAAAACACTGCTGAAGCACTGATATGCGTCTTCCAGAGTATCATTAGTGGGAGAGTTATCGCATGTATCCAAGTCTGAAACTTCCCTCTTGCCAGACTGACAGTAATGATCACAGCTCAGCTCCAGGAATAAAGAATCAGGGGCTGATTCCAAATATGACATATTACTGAAAACTGATGAGCCAGAGCAATTGCCTGAATCTCGGTTTGCACGGTTGTGTTCTCTTGAGGAACTGATTCCGTTAACACTCTTGTATGACCTGCTCGTAGTAACCTGATTGTTGGGGGGGGACAGTGATGGGTTGTTTGAGATTGGACGTGATTTAAACACCTCATTTAAGGCATGCTCGACACGTAATGCGATGTTGATGGTGCTGATGTTCTCTTCCAGGCAAGCCTGGCCATAATCCACAGGCACTGACTCAACACTGTGGGAACTTTTTTCATTGTTTGTATCTACATATAATGCTGAGATCCTGTAGAGAGACAAACATGTTGTGTCATTATTAATCAGAATTAGAATGATGCCAGTCTGTCATGTGTTTCTGACGTTTTTGGGGGAAAAAAGAACAAACAAGCAAACATAAGAACATACAATTTCTTATCCTCCTGAAGGCCCAGTGTTGGAATCCAATCTACTTGGATTGGAGAGAACTTCGTAACAGATGGAGGCAAAATATGACCCTATTAAACATGAGAAAAAAATAAGGCGTTTATTTTGATCCACATTATGATGAAATATTAACATTATTGATGGTTATTGAAGGATCTTTCTCCCACCTTCTCCTCTCCAAGATTGGCATCTATTTTTGGCTTGGAGATTTTGTCCCACCAAATCGTCTTCATGCTGTAATGAAGAAGTAAAGTGTGTCAGAACTGAATTTGTCAAGGATGCATAAAGGAAGAGCAAAAAGTCAAATGTTTTGTTATCGAATGATGGAAAAACATAAAACAGAGAACTCACCTCAAAATGCAGATGAAGATAATACAAATGATGATGATTAAACCAACACAGAGAAGTGGAATCATAATTTTGGCTATTTTATTTGGGGATGAGGCTGTAAAACATATATACAGTAGATTGATCAGGATTATTTAAGACTATTAACACGCATGCAATAATGAATTTGAGACAAATCTAGATAGACTTACAGGTGGTGAACTCAACTGTTGCGCTCTGGTCACTAGATATACTATGATCATTATAGTCAGAGCTCATTGTTGCTGTCAGAATGTAGTTGGTATTTGGCTGGAGATTTTTGGCCACAATCTCAAATGATCCCATTGTGTTCGGCACTGTCTTGGATATCTGTATGAACATATATATATATATATATACGCATTAATATACACATTAATATGGTTCATATTATCTATGTATCATATATAATCTTCCTTACATTTTCATGTCCTCCTTTGATGCCATAGGTCAGATTTATTCTCAAGGATTCAAAAAAATTTCTTCCTGCCAAACCACTTTTGTCATACTGGTCATCCCAAGTTACATTAAAGTTTCCATTTTCAGTCTTTTGCACAGATAAGACTGGAGATTTCGGTTTGACTACAGAAAAGGTAAAACATATGCAAATGTGGCAGATAAGGCTGGATGAAACTAAAGAGCATGCAAATTCTACTTTATCCACAAAATAATAAGGAAAAATATTAGCAAGAACTTATAGACAACATTTATACTCACTGAAGTCTGAAGTCATGAATATTTTGCTTAATAAAACATTTGTTCCTTCCAGAAGTGTAGTACTGAAGATCTCTGTTGCAACAAACCCTTGCACTTTAATTTTGCACTCACAATTGTCACTGTGATGACTTCTCTCAAAGATGCATGTATACTTTTCAAACCTGAAATTTAAGAGATATTTGTGTCAACTGATTGCTAAATGAACAGCAATACATTTAGTTATAGAGGAACTACAGGCCTGGACAAACACTCACGTATTGAATACAGGATGTGTGATGTTGAGCTTGTATCCAGAGCAGCTTTGGAGACGGTCAGAGGAGAGACTGCATTTCATTTCTGTCTCATAGTCATTAAAACACTTCAAGTCCTCCTTTGTGGGCTCTACAGTGATTTTAAAGTTTTAAAATAAAAAGCAAACTATATCACACATGACCAAAGTAAACAGTTGTTTTGTAAAAAATAACAGTAGTTATGAGAGCAAAACATGGTGTAAAAATGAGCCATATGACCAAATTTTGAGGTATGAAAGTAAAAGTAAAAATTCAACAGAATTTGTGTCGTCTAAATCAGCACGTTCTTTAATTTATTAAAAAAACACCCACATCAGCTTTTCATCAACACGTTTTAAATAAATAAATGTATTAATTGGTAAAGCGTTACCATTAATTAACAAATGAATAAAAACTATGAATATCATGTCTGAGCCGATGGGGAAGTTTGTAATACCTTCCAGTACCTGTACTTCTCCTGAAGCTACAAAAATGAACAGTGCTACATTTGACACAATTGTGAGAGTGGCATCAGCATATAAATATGGAGATTTTATATCTAAGTATTCATAGAGAAAACAACAACAACAAACACTTACCGTAACACAGTGCGAGACAGATGAGTGTGAGGATGATCTCACACATAAGAAATGGGGAAAACATCCTGTACGTCCTATAACAAAAAACAAATATAATCTCATATATCTCCAGACAATGACACGTTACAAACTAAAACGATTCCTCGCAAAATATAGCCTAAATGTTACGTTTTCATACCTTTAGACTGCCTTTAAGAAACCGAGTTTACTAACCACTCTATAGGCAAATTAAACACAGTTAAATACGGTTTCAGTCACAACCACATACAGCAAGTAGCCCCGCAAGTAGTTTAAACCTGCTTCATATTCATATGAGCATATGCTTCCCTATTCGCAAAATGGAACTCGCGAAAAAGGGCGTTTCGAACTTTCCTGGAAAACACGCAGCAGTTCCGCCGTTCCACTGACTCCCGTCCTGCTGGAGCCTGCGCTGTTCCTGACAGACGCGCTCTCACACTGATCCCTGGCCTGCTCAAACACCACACCGGAATTCCATGGAAAACCCTCCGAGCCCACGTCAAAGACAAACAAGCAAGAATAGTCTTCGTTAGAATGTGTTATTTATGAGACAGTCAAACGCAAAGGGGATCATTATGCAAGGCTCGCAAAAGGAACCGCAAAATGACACTGCATTTCAGAGAAACCTTTTATGCAGTTTCAATTCCTCTTATGTCAGTTTCATGTCAAAATGAACAGCCTACCCCAATCTAAAATAGAAAATATATCAAAATGTTATACTATATTATTTATTTGTACATTTCTCCAACACATGTTCAGTATGGCAGACAAGACAGAGGTTTATTTTAAAAACAGAATGAGCCATGCCTATGGTCTCTCTCTCTCTCTCTCTCTCTCTCTCTCTCTCTCTCTCACACACACACACACACACACAGTTTCACAGTTTAGGTGTTAATTGGCATGACAAACATTTGATATTTGTAAATTTGTATTGCCAGCGCAAGAAAAGAGTAGTACAAAATAATATAAAGAAAAGAACAAAAACAGTAATTGAAGTATAAAAGTATACTTCAAGTAAAAGTAATTGAAGTATTTTGTGCATTCTGTGAGAAAGTGCAGCTCTGTCTCGATTTTGTCTGGATGCAGTGTGGACACAGCCTCTCTTCCTGTGGCAGCCATGTTTTCCTGTGTCTGATTGTCTCTATCATGTGTCCACTGAGTCTGTACCTGCTCAAGGTGGCTCTCAGTTTTTTATCTGTTACTTTATACAGATAGTCTGCCATAGTGTACTGGCTTTTTAGGGCCAAATAGCATTGCATTTTACTTTGTTGTTGTGTTTGAGATTCCCAATGTTTAATGTAATTGTGTTTTATTTGTGCTGTAATTTGGTTGAATTGAATGTGTTTGGCAGTATTGTTCTGGTCCAGAGTGTCAGTGTGATGAGGGTCAGTGGATGTTAGTGAAACTCTGGACCAGCTGAGAGAGGGGATTGCTTCCATTGCTCAGCTCTTGGTATTGCAGGGCTTTATGATGGTATGAGTCGGATCACTGAGTTTTAAATGCTTGCAGAATTTGCCCTTTTCTGTATTTTAATTATTAGTGGATATTTGCCTATTTCTGCCCTGCATGCATTATTTGTTGTGTTCCGATGGATGTGTAGAATATTTTTACAGAATTCTGCATGTAGGGTCTCAATTGGATGATTGTCCCATTTGGTTAGTTCTTGATTTGGATTTGTCAGTGGACTGGACCCCACAACTCACTGCCATAGAGGGCAATCAGCTTGATGACAGATTCTTATATTTTCAGCCAAATTCTTAGGAACTCTATTGGGCATTGTCGTTTTATGGCATAAAAGGCACTGCGTGTTTTATCTCTCAGTTCATTCACTGCAGAATTAAAGTTACCTGTGGATGTGATGTTCAAACCCAGGTATTGTAGTGTGATGTGGGTGTGTTCCCTGGGATCTGGGTGTTTTCTGGAATGTCATGATTGTAGTTTTCTTAAGGTTTGACTGTTAGGCCCCAGGTCTGACAGTATTGCTCTAGCAGGTCCATTTTCTGTTGTAGACCTCGTTCATTGGGAGACAGCAGAACCAGGTCATCTGTGTAGAGCAGACATTTGATTTCTGAGTCGTGTAGAGTGAGACTAGGAGCTCCTCTCTCTCTCTCTCTCTCTCTCTCTGTGTGTGTGAGCCGTACAGGAGAAACACGTAACTTCCATCTTCCATTCCACTCGGGTTCCGCTTGGAGACGCCTTGTGGTTGAAAACAGTAACAAGTCATAAAATATAAAGTTGCACAACAAATTTCACAATACAGCATGGCCTCCAGGCAATATCCCAGCAAACACAAAACGTTTTAAAAACGTAGTTGTGTTTGCTGTGAACGCCCTACATATGGGTTTTGATATAATCACTTTTTTCAAGTGCCAACCGTGTACTGGTGACAGCACGAATGAGAGAAGGAGAGTCCAAACCGCTGATAAAAACATCACAATAATCCACAAGTAAATCACATGACTTCAGTCTATCAATTAAAAGTCACATATTTTACACCTTTCTGGAGTTTTATTTTAAGTCTTGATGTCCTTAAGAATATATATTTGCAGTATACTGTAAGTACCAAAAACCATCTCAATATATTTTTACAGCTCCTCTCTCAGGAGCTCTGCAAAGAAAGAACAGGTCGATTTTGGCATGTCTAATTAATATTCATGAGCCTCTCTTCTGATTGGCCTGTTGTTTTCTGAGTGACGTACGGCCAGGCCAACCACAGGTAACTAGGGTCATGTATGCTGTAGCCTGCTGTGGATTGGTGATACTCACAAATAAGGTCAATAGAAACACCGGTAATGATGGTCACTGCTGAGGGAAATGTTGTTCGGCCTTACATGTTTGAGCCGAACTCAGACCCCGAATCACGACGACAGGAGACAACCAACCACCTCCTCCAACGCGCTTACAACAGGATGTTTCAGAATGGTAATTCATGTTTTTTTTTTCAGACACCGAATGCAGTAAATACAAACCTGACCAGCCGAGCGTTTGCGATCACGTGAACTTGAAGACACTTGTACAAATGCAGATGGGTGAAATGAATGGAGATGATTCCAGATTGGCAATGTAGTATTTAGTTTCTGTATTCTGTACTGTATTTTCCTGCACTTAAACCTGCCAGTCTAACGGATCAAACGCCGTGTATGGCATTTGAGGTAATTTGTGAATTAGCATACACTTTTAGTCTAAATAAAACAATTTGCAACTGTTACTATTACACTTGTATACAAAACTTTGTATTATGCTTGTTACAGAGTGATGTGGTTGTCACGGCGACCGTCACAGACCTACTGTGCAATGATGTAGTTTCCTGACATCCAGACTGAACAGCGTTTTCTTGACATGTTTCCTTGTTGTTGTTGCTCAGCAATGGCATGGACGCGATGTTGTCTGGGGGTTTGGCAAAAGGAGAGTGGAACTGTGGGCAGTGCTCGGGGTGGTGACTGAAGGCGGTGACTGTGTAGTTCTGACGTCACCTTTTTACGGAAGTCACAACTGTTCGTGAAAAATCACAGCTACTTTATGCAGGTTGTGTGCATTTGACTGTGGATTGACTGTTTTGAAACTTACATAGCACCTAGACCTCAGTTATCATGAAAAAAGCCAGGAAATTTCAGTTTTGACAATATGGGACCTTTAACATCTTGTGAAGTGAAGAGCTGCATGTTTGTAAGAAACAAATACATACATACATACAAATACTGTATATCATTAAGACATTTGAACTTTAAACGGTTGCTTCCAGCTAAATACGAGTCCTATATCTATAATTTGTTCTCCAGTGATTATTGTGATGTTTTTATAAGCTTTTTGAACTCTCATTCTGATGGCACCCATTCACTGCAGATGATCCATTGGTGAGCAAGAGATATATGCTAAATTTCTCCAAATCTGGTCCAAAGAAGAAACAAACTTATCTACATCTTGGATGGCTTGAGTGTGAGTAAAGTTTCAGCAAATATTTGGGTGAACTAGTTACTATACATTTAATGATGACAAAATTACATTGTTTGATATTAGTGCTTTCCCTTCTGTTTTAGATTATAGGCCTGCTGTGCCACTGTGCTGCCTATAATTACTGGTCTAGTAGGCTATACATTGGTGTTTATTTGTTTTCATGGTGTATGTGCCGTGTTTCTTTCCACATTTTGTTCGACACCAATCAAATGTATTCCATATCAAAACAGCCAGTTTTGATGTGCAGGATCCTATGAGTTGCAGCAGTTTTCTGTTAGAAAATCATTTGCCTGAATAATATATACTGACTCATTTCTCCTGGAAATTGTGATTTTGTCATGCATAGAATTAAGATTTTCAGTGTTAAAGTCAACAATTATCACTGGGCAATCAATTGCTATGGACCCTTTTCACAAGACTGTGATGACGCGTTTAACGGTCATCAGCATCGTAAATCCTCAAAAGTGTTTCATATTTGTATTTAAAAAAAATGCATGTACATTTATAACACTGTTCTTTGTATTATATCACCTTTGCATCAAATTACAAAAAACAGTTAACGCTAATGCGAGGGTGTTTGTAATGCAGCGTGATGCAGGTAAATTTGACATCGTTCGCTCTTCTGACAGCCGTTATCAGTCTCTCTCAATTTTTTTCCTTTTATTGAAAGTCATGAAAACACTATCGTGGAGTTTTTCTTTTGCTATTTGAGCAAATGGGAATGCAAAAAATATATTTGTGGTACTCTCCCATTCACTGCTCTTCAAGTTAACCCAACTATGACGACTTCCGCTGCTGAGAAACCCAGAAATGTGAAAAAGGTCCATAGTGCACAGATTTTTATAGACTTTTAAGTAGTGCACACTGCACAGATGGCACTGTTATAGTTTATGTTGTAGTTTAATAAACAACATGCCATTCAATTGTCATAGATACATACGTATTATGTTTATTTATATCAATTTTAATATATATTAATAGCTTATATACTACATATTAATGTATTAAAAGTATATACACATGTACATGTCATCTAGTGTCACAAGTGTTTTCCGCAGGAACCTTCTGGATGGATCACGTGACCGGAAGTACTGTTTCTAGTTGGAACGCGCGAACGTTGCTCGAATTGATATCTCGGCGCGCTACACTGAAAACGGGTATGTGAGAAGCAGCACTTTTTAACAATATGTGTTAATGGACCCTTTTCACAAGACTGTGATGACGCGTTTAACGGTCATCAGCATCGTAAATCCTCAAAAGTGTTTCATATTTGTATTTAAAAAAAATGCATGTACATTTATAACACTGTTCTTTGTATTATATCACCTTTGCATCAAATTACAAAAAACAGTTAACGCTAATGCGAGGGTGTTTGTAATGCAGCGTCTATGGGAGGGATGGTAAATTTGACATCGTTCGCTCTTCTGACAGCCGTTATCAGTCTCTCTCAATTTTTTTCCTTTTATTGAAAGTCATGAAAACACTATCGTGGAGTTTTTCTTTTGCTATTTGAGCAAATGGGAATGCAAAAAATATATTTGTGGTACTCTCCCATTCACTGCTCTTCAAGTTAACCCAACTATGACGACTTCCGCTGCTGAGAAACCCAGAAATGTGAAAAAGGTCCATAGTGCACAGATTTTTATAGACTTTTAAGTAGTGCACACTGCACAGATGGCACTGTTATAGTTTATGTTGTAGTTTAATAAACAACATGCCATTCAATTGTCATAGATACATACGTATTATGTTTATTTATATCAATTTTAATATATATTAATAGCTTATATACTACATATTAATGTATTAAAAGTATATACACATGTACATGTCATCTAGTGTCACAAGTGTTTTCCGCAGGAACCTTCTGGATGGATCACGTGACCGGAAGTACTGTTTCTAGTTGGAACGCGCGAACGTTGCTCGAATTGATATCTCGGCGCGCTACACTGAAAACGGGTATGTGAGAAGCAGCACTTTTTAACAATATGTGTTTAATACACACCTGTTTCGGTCAGACTAGGATGTCGATCATTGAATACTCTGACAAACGCACGCTTAACTTGATGTAGCATGTCGTATTGAGGATGTTGTGCAACTTAGCTTGTGGCTTGCGGTATTTTTGTAAATTCGTCCGGTAATACAAGCGTAAGTTTGCATGTTCACTGGAACAATATTGTCTGGGTTTTGCCTTTGTTTTCACATTGACGTGATATCTACATTATATGTAGGCTTATTTGCGTTGCTTTGACCGTTCCCTGTAGATCCCACCTTCTCGCACGCCATGATTGGTCGGTTATGTCCAATGCCTGCACGCTATTGGTCAAACTACTTTTCAGTCATTACCTTCAACAAGTATGAAACTGATTGCAAAACAAAGCCAAATCCTGGACATTTAGGCAATTTAGAAATCCCAGAAATCAACTAATTTAGGATTCAACAAGGCATTGGTATAACTATAGTCAACCGTTACTATTTACTATTATAACTATTGTTCAAATTGAACTTGTTCAATATCGTCTTGGTAATACATAAGGGTTCTCCTACAGTCATTTTCAATCACCATTAACTCAGATTTGCCTGCTCAGTATTGGTGAGTTGATGTCTTTTCCAGCTCAAGAGGACATTAAGCAGAATGTCCCCACCAATGGGAGACAGTCACAAGCGCTTCTTGCAGACCATGATGAGCAATGGCATTATCAGTGCATCTCGGGCTGCAGCACTACACAAACACTGCTGTGAGACCCACGGAGGTATGAAGAAAACCACTGACTGCAATTTAGACAAATTCAGTTGGATAATGTGTTTATGTAGTATTTATTTTGCTCTTAAGGCAGAATGTTTTTAAAAAGCAAAACTATAATTTGTAATTTGGAAATTGTATATAGGTGTCCTATTTGAATTAAGCATCTATCTTGCCTTTCTAGCTCACTATGTGGCAGACCGATTAGAAGATTTTATTAATATCATCAACGCGCATCTTCAGTCCTTGTTCATGCACATCAGGAAAGGCATGTCTGAAGACGATGGACTCGAGTATTATGCCTTGGTTAGTTGAAAGCTGCATGCACGTCTAAGGAGAGATTTCTTTTTTACTGATGTCTGTTCAATTTCTGTATTAGATATTATGTACATTTTTTGTTTTATATATTATTAATTTGGGAAGAATAATATTAGCATTGTATTACATTTATGTGCTTGATGTGATATTTTTTTAAAGTCAAAATAGAAATAAATACTTACGTTTGTTATTCAGGTAAACGTGACAGAGACGGACATAACAAGAATGGCGTCTGATTATGCAGATAATGAACTGGAATTATTCAGAAAAACGGTATATTGATTCTCAAACACACACACACATACAGACAGTGGCAAGAAAAAGTACTTAAACCCATTGGAATTAGTTGGTTTTCTGTATCAATTATTCATAAAATATGATCAGATCTGCATCAAAGTCACATGTATAGACAAACAATGTGCTTAAACTAGCATCTCACAAACAATTATAATCTTTTGTGTCTTTATTGAACACGTCCCATTAAATATTCATAGCGGTGTGGAAAAATTAAGTGAACCTTGCCTTGTTTTCATTACCTGGATGAGCCACAAGGTTTTTTTTTTTTTTTTGGTGATGAGTCTCTTGTTTGTCCTGAGAATATGAGAGTATAAAAGACTATTCTCATTTTTTTCTTAGGAAAGTCATGTTTTGTTTTCATAATATCTCTCTTTGTCTCTGCATTCAGATGGATCTGATTGCAGACTCTGAGAGCGGTTCTGCCTCCTCCACCGATATTTTAAATTGTGCCGACAGCCTCCAGACAAAGAAACTGAAGAAAAAAGAAACTGAGCATGTTTTAAACAAATTTGTCCAGGACAAATGGTTAAATGAGGTATTCATTTTAAAATTGTTTTTTTCCCCCATATATAAATAACTCACCAGTCACTACCTCCAAAAGTAGTTAAACATTTTTTATTTTATTTGTTCTTTTGTTTCGCTGCTTTAGAAAGACGGTGAATACACTCTAAGTGTGCGCTGCATTGTGGAGATGGAACAGTATATGCGCACAATCTACCAAGACCTCATCAAAGTGTGTCATGTGTGCCACAACATTGCCCTGCAGGTAAAGTCATGAACATGAGTAAAGGTCATGAAGTTTTGTTTATTACGGAAATCCAGGATTTAGATCTCCATCATTTAATTTGAAACGCAAGAAGGAATTTTAAAGGAATAACTCGCCAAAAAGTCATCATTTAATCACCCTCATGTTGATTTCTGTCTAGCTTGTTTAATAGTTGATTAGTTGAATTTTTATCACTTATGTTACATGTATTGACATTTTATTTCTATAGAATTGCCTTGGTTATAGGGGTTACCTGATAGCATTTTCAAACAGAGGAAACTGCAAACAAGAACTTTTCTTTTACATTTAGTGCCAGATGTGTGAAAACCCAATATGTGGAATCAAGGTGCATCTCCCGTGCGTTGCTAGATATTTTAGAGCACGCAGTGACCCTCGTTGCCCGGAATGCAGTGATTTCTGGCCTCACGAGATTCCAGGTGAACTGTTTTTCTTTCTTTTTTTTTGTGAATATTAAATTTTTGCTTTTGAACTGTAACATAAAAAATACAAAACACAAATTTTACATAACTTGGTGCACAAGGCAAAAAATACAATAGAATGGGATTATACAGGATGTCATAATTGTTACAGTGTAAGACCTCATTTGAAAAGAGAATCCCTCCGGTCTGTTGAAGTATCTTCCATGTAACAGAAAAGGGGTTGCCAGATTTTATGAAATACTTTACTTTTATTTCTTAACCAGTATGTTAATTTTTCCAAGGGTACACAGTTACTAACCTCAGATAACCACAGATGTATGAGAATAACCGTATCAGATTTCCACTTTATTTCAATGCACTTCTTAGGAGTTCTTATGGCATAAACTTGCCTAATATTAGCGTAATTACCCAGTAAACATACTTCTGGGTTTGTTGGAAAATTGACTCCATGGATATCAGACTCCAAAGTTGCATACTTTTTGCCAAAATTCCTGAACTTAAGGGCAGGTCCATGTGGAATGAAAAAAAGTTCCCTTCTCCACACCACATCTAAAGCAAAGAGGTGAAATATTATTAAACTTATGACGTTTTGATGGTGTGATATACAGTCGGTGAAGGAAGTTAAGATGAATTATACTATATCTAGAGTTCAAGTATGATGCAGCACCATCCTTACACAGTTCAATGTTTCCCCTTCAATGCTAATGTCCAAGTCATGTTCCCATCTCACTTTAGATTTGTCTAATTCAGGCTCTGGTTGGTTAACTGTTTTTCATTAACTGATAGATTTAATATGAACAATTTGTTAGTTGTTTACTTAAAAAGGCTTTACATTCCAATGTTTTCATGTTTCTTTTTCTAATTTGCAGAAATACTGCATTCCCAGTCACAGAGTTCACAAAATTTGCCTTCATCATCCAGAGAGAGCACTGGTCCCACACCATCACGCCGGTCAAGAAGGTCGTAATCTGCTTGCGGATTCATCACTGCAGCTGGCCTTTTGACCATTAATGAGGATTTTTCAAGTGTCTAAAAGTTTTTTTACATTCATTTTCTATTTATAAAGAATTGTTATTGGAAAGGGTTCTTTCTCAGTTTGACGTAATTTTTGTTGTAATTCTGATCCAAGATCAAATATATTTATATATATATATAAATATAAATAAAATGGATTTGCTCTTGTATGGAAACATTTGCTGTCTCTCTTGAATTGTAGCATTTTGTACAGTTGCAAAAATAGAATAAAAATTGAGAAACAAACTTCAAATGTCTCTTTTCAAAAGAAAATCTAAAAAAAAAAAAAAAAGATTAATTCAAGTTGTCAGCACATTTCAAAGTGTTGCAACTAAATGTGGGTAACGATTTAATTTAGTTCCCTACATACTGTTCCTGTAGCTGAACTGGTAGAGAATGAAGCAAACAAACCAAGACCATGAATGCAAATTACATAGAAATACATGCACCGTTAAATATATAGCTTGAATATGATGATCAGCCAATGTGTTATTAATGGAAATGAATAGAAACATTTGCTCTAGTTGATATAACAAAATGTAAAATTATTCAAAATTATACTGGGGTAAGATGAGCTCCTACCTTGGGCAAGAAACCCTTCTGGCTGAATGAATGAATGAATAAAATAAATTACAAAATGAATAAATTACTTTTGATACATCTGAAATGTAAACTTATTCTATGACTTAAGGAGTTATATGAATATGTAAATATTTAATGAAAAGCAAAGATGGAAATACTGAAGAATAACCCCATCAATTACACTAAATAATACATTTATGTATATAACATTCAGCCTAAAACTGATGACATATTTGGCATTTGTACAAATAAAGACAATGTTATAAGACTTGACAGCACACACACTGGGCACGTTTTATTCTCTACAAATTAGGACCACCAAAAACTGACAGAAAAGCTGAGCTCTAGAGAGCGCACATAATGCCAGTGCTGTTGAGGGATGAAGAGGACATCTCTGGGCTGGAGAACACACTCCTGATAGAAGGCTTTAGAGAAGTCTGGGAACTTCACCAGGTCTGCATTCTCCACTTCTACCTGGTGGTGGTAAAAACTTTTTTAGATCTAAAACAACTTATGTGATTATTTCAAAACGCTTTAAGAACAAGAAACCTGATGTCATAAATTAGGTCTTCTACCTGACTGGTGTTGTGTAGTAGCTGAGACTGATGTGGATAGAGATTTTTTGTTTCATCTGAGCTGTAGAGCCGGATGTATTTCCTTCCAACCACCTGACATCCAAAAACACAACCAGAATGCAATGAAACGGGGGGGGGGGGCCTTGCCTTACAAAAGCCTTGCCTTTCAAATGCCAAATGCACCATTTGTCTCTTGTTTACCTGTGCCAAAAAATTCTGTTGAGGATCCTGATGGAGAGGAGACACAGTCCCTCCAGGCCCAAACCAGGCATTAATTGTAATGTCATCCTTATCTCCCTCTCCAAGACAACAATAGTCTGGGATGCGAATATCTTTTCAGCTCTGGAACCTATCAGGATGAATAACAGCCAAAGTTACTGTTTTTGGTTTTGAATGATGCTACATCTGTTAGTATAATTCCAAGTCTAAGAAAACTGCCATAGCGCAAACTAAATTTACAAAAACTTTGCACTTTTAACAGTATTAAGAGAAAATTAAAGAAATATTGCACCCAACAAAGAAAACTTGCTGAAGAATGACTCGCCCTCAGGCCGTCCAAGATGTAGATGAGTTTGTTTCTTAATCGGAACAGATTTGTCAATTTAAAAATGCATGACTTGCTCACAAATGGATCTTCTGCAGTGAATGGGTGCCGTCAGAATGAGAGTCCAAACAGCTGCTAAAAACATCACAATAATCCACAAGTAATGTAAATAATCCAAAGGCTTGTGTTTGTAATAAATTCATCAATAAGATGTTTTTAACTACAAACTGATACTTCTGGCTAAAATCAATCAATCCATAATATTGATGAATTAATAGTCAATATTAGTGAAAAAGTCATCTTGTCTGAATCAGGTGAGGAATCTGCATAGATCGAGCACAGTTTATAAGTGAAAAACAGTCCAAAACAAATAAATCAATGGATTTTGATGTGAGAGGACAACAGGGGATGGGCTTTTTTACTGGAGGAAGTGTTATTATGGATTAGCATTATTATTATTAAACCATAACCATGGTTATTTTAATAGAGTCTTAATTATGGATTTGTTTATTACAAACACATAGCTTTTGACTTCCCAAGACATTAATTGATGGACTGGAGTTGTGTATAATTTTATTTATTTTATATTATATACTTGTGGATTATTGTGATGTTTTTATAAGCAGTTTGGACTCTCGTTCTGACGGCACCCATTCACTGCAGAGGATCCATTGATCAGACAGTGATGACATGCTAAATTTCTCTACATCTAAGATGGCCTGAAGGTGAGCAAATTTTCATTTTTGGGTGAACCATTCCTTTAAAGGTAAAGTATGTAGATTCTGGTCCTCTAGTAGCACCATAAAGAAATGCAACTGACCTGATCAAACAACTGATGCTGAGCCAGATATCCCACTCCATCCTCTGCCTATAAGAAAATCACCAAAAAAAAAAAATTATAGACAGTTTACAGCTTCTCTAGGCAAAAAAACCCCAAAAACACTATCTTACAATGAAATGAAACTGAAATGATTCTTACTGTTCCTATAATGTAGCGGTCTATGAAGTCATTCATTGTAATGAGCTTTTGTGACCACTTTTCATCAGTGTACTTGGATCCCACTTCAATAGGTACCGTCCGGCAGCCAGCGATAGTTCTGAAGTAGTCTATGCTTAGAAAGAGTGTACAGTAGGGTTGTTTACAGATGTTTCAAAATCTAATAATACATTTTTATCAGTACCTCCATGGATGCTCTGTTAAGACTGGCCAGTGGTCAGTGATTCCCTCTATAATCACAGGCTTCTGAGGATCCAGGAAATCTGATCTGAAGCGCTCCAGGGATGGACAATGAATCCTAGGCACTGCTTGTGCAGGGTTTATTACAGGTTCGGAGACACAGTCCAGTTTAATTTTCTGTTTTAGAACAGCTTTATAAGTAAATAATGTCCAGCTGAATAAGCTATTAGAACAAGGCTTTAAAGAGCATGACATGATTTAGTAAATTAGTTCCTGAATCAACAATTGATATTAAACAATCACAGGCCAAACCTAATCAATCAATTAATCAATCTCACTGATCCCAACAAACACAAAAATTAAGTTTTATAATTTGAAATAATATTATTTAAATCATATATTTATAAATGTATAATTTCACATTTATTTTTTAATTAAAATGAATTATTAATCTTGTTTTAATTTTAAAAAATCACATAATTTTATCAAATGTTAGGTTTTCGTTACAAAGAAAATTCGCAATAATAGCTGAAAATGATGTAATTATAATTATACACCACTGATTTTAATAATTCCAAGACAACAATTTCATAAATGCTTGTTTTTGAAAATAATAACATAAAATGCAAAAATTTTTATAAAAATATGTTGAAGTATTAAAATTACTACAACAACAAATTCAAAGCTAAATAGAAATATATAAAAATGTATATATACAATAAAATTGACAAAAACATACATTGAACTAAAATTTAACTGAAAGTATAAAAAAAAATGTGTTACAAAAGATTTCTATTTCAGATAAATGCTGTTCTTCTGAACTTTCTATTCATCAAAGAAACCTGAAAAAGATCTACTCCGCTGTTTTCAACATCATAATAATAAATGTTTTTTGAGCAGCAAATCAGAATATTAGAATGATTTCTGAAGGATCATGTGACTGGAGTAATGATGCTAAAGCTCTGCTTTGAAATCACAGGAATAAATTATATTTTCAAATAGAAAACAGTTATTTTAAATAGTAAAAATATTTCAAAATGTTACAGTTTTTGCTGTATTTTG